AGGCACGTTGGTACTCACAATTCTTAGTGTCCCACCGGGGCAGGCGGTGCCGTCTGAACTCTGTTGTGGCCTGAGTCACACTGAGCTTGGGTGCTGGGTCTGGACCACCGAGACTCCGGTTGCTTGCCTATGAACGACAGCCTGATATCTCTTCTTTTGTCACCCGACCCATGACATTTATCACAAAAGCTCTACTGATAAATATATCACTATAAATATAAATAGTGATCAATATACAGTAATAAAGCTATCATACAGTGCAAGGCTTCCTTAAACATTCTCACCCCCACTTATTTCTATGCATTTTTTCCTTTTAGCACACAGGGGGTGGGGACCACCCTTTGCCATCACATCAATGTCACTGCAGTGCTCCCGGCGTTTGAGTGTGACAGACAAGACCACTGGACAAGGGATTTTTAAACCTGGAGTGGAGGCACACACCTGTAATCTCAGCACTCAGAAGTCAGAGGCAGGAGAATCAGAAAGTTAAAGACAGTGTCAGCAACATTGCATATTTGAGGTCCATTCTGGGCTACCTGAGATCCTTTCTCAAAAAAAAAAAAAAATATTCTAGACTCCTTCCTTTAAACTCTTCTTAAGCCAGAGCTCTCCAACTAAGCTAATTGAGCTATTAAAACCAAGGGCAGGCATTTATTTCTATTCTCATTAATCTTAATTTTCTTGGTTCTATGCCATCACTTCCAGCCTCTGAGGATAGATATGCATATTAATCACAACATACTAAATATCCCTTCCAGCAGCCTTCTGCTACCTCTAAAGACCATAACCAAAACACTAATAAAATGTTGAGCAGAGCAGAACTGAGAAGAGAGCGGAGCCCTGTCCGGGGCCCCATGCCGACACCGAGCAGCGAAGGTTCTCTGAACAGTCTGAAAATGACGTAAGTGTTTGGTGAATGAGTAAGTGATCCACTCCCTTTGAGACAAGCCTGCTCAGTCAGCCATGAAGGTATCTAATTATGACTGCTGTCTTCTTCCTGGGTCCTCCAAGGGAACTGGAGCTGGGCTTCTTTTCTGAAGTTCACCAAACTGAAGGTCGCCTTGCCAGCTTAGTGCCCAGAGTTTCTTCTGGTGACGTAGTCAAATGGGAAAGGTATTGGTGAATGAGAACCTCAAGAATTGTCGCTGTGTCCTTGGCCTCTGCCATTACGTCAAGTGCTTCACTTCCTGGTAGAGTTTCGTACCCCTTATCCAAAGTGTTTAGACCAACAAGTGTTCTGCATTCAATATTTTTTTCAGTTTTAAATACTGTACTTTTAAAATCAGATATTTAGAATGGGACCCAAACTTGCATCCGCACTTTACCAGTGGAGACATCTTCATCTTATGTAACATTTTTAGCGAACCTACCTTCTGACTAAGTCTGCCACAGAAGGTCAGTCGTGGAATTCCCCGCTGGGTCATGTGACTGCTCGCAGACTTGGGAACTTTCGGGGCATTTTGTGTTTCAAATTTGCAAGTTAGGGATGCCGAGCCTGCCCCATCCCTGACGAGTCATCTGCATTTCCTCCTATTTGTGCAAGCCAGTTCCTCCAGCTCACTCAAGCTGAGAATCTAGGGACTGGGTGTATAGGAACAGCCGCTCCACTCACCCTTTCAAGGACACCCCTGAAACATTTTTAAAAGCATCTGTGTCAAATTCTAGAAGTGCCTTCTAGTCTGAGCACCAGGTTATTATTTCCAGGTCTTAAAAATCAGTGACCATCTATTCTCACATCGCCAGCACAGAAGGTTCCTGTCTGTCACTTCTTAGCAGGAAGAGTAGAGAGGAAACGGAGCCATAGACGAGCAAAAACATGGTTGAGTCCTGTATAAAACGTATAGTAGCTTAAAGGCATGTCAAACATGCAGACCAAATCTGCCCCCTATACCTATGAATGTGGCTGATATTTAAGCTTATTTGAAACATCTTTAGATTTTTTTTTTTGAGGGAGGGGAGAGGAAATTTTGTTGGGGAAAAAAAGTCTCATTGAGTAGTTCTGAAGCATGAACTTTGTAGATGACAATGCTGTGTCACGATGTCAAACAGATACACTTACAAATTTGAGTCATGTTTCTGTATAGATTGTATGAGAGAATTGTGTGTGTGTGTGTGTGTGTGTGTGTGTGTGTGTGTGAAGAAAGTGTTAATATTTTAGGGGAAGAAGGAAACAGTAAGAAGAGGGGACAGAAGGGCAGAGGGGAAATTGAACAAAATATAATGAGATATATGTAATGAAAATGTCACAATGAACCTCATTACACACTAGCATGGTGTGGCGCCCCCTAGTGGCTTAGTGAAAATCCAGCAGGATCCAGTTCCACTCTGGAAGACGCAGACAATACAGAGAGCTAAAGGACTAGACTTGAGAGAGCCCTGTCTCCCCTGGTGCCTGATAAACACTCCCACACTCAGGAGCACATCAACACTGGTGACAGCTTGGGAGCCTTGGTCAGGAGGATCTCAGGCCCAGACAACATAGCAAAATTTTCCCCATTAAAATAATAGTTTTTGATACTTGGTTAAAAACTATTATTCTAAGTAGAAATATAGCTCCATGGATAAAGCAAAGCCACCAAGCCTGACAACCTGAGTTCAATTCCCCAGGACCCACACAATGAAAAGAGAAAACCAGTTTCATTGGTTGCCACATGTGTACTATGACATGTGGGCCCCCCACAAAATAATAACAATAACAATAATAAATATATTAAATTATAAAATTTGCAAATATAAAAAAGACAATGATGGGTTAAGATTTGTGTCAGTTCAGCCTGAGACTCCTGAATCTTTATTAATTGTTCCCTCCTTGTTTTACAAAGCCAGTCTCTAGCGTAGATGCTACTGTTTATCGGTGAATAATTTTTCAGAATAAATTTGAATTTGCCAGCATCGATACATCATACCAGGAGTTAGAGCTAAGTGTGGTAGAGTACCTGCCTGGCATTTGCAAGGTGCTGGGTTTGATCCTCAATACTAAAAATAGATATTTGATGCATCTTGTTAGTTCATTAGCAGAAGCTCAGCCCAGTTAGTGTTCGGGACTGAACAGCCAGCCTCTATCAAACAGGCAGTATAAATAAAGCCCTATACCTCTGAGAACCTCTTCATAGGAGCTGCTGGGTTTGCATACTGCAGTCAATAGCTTAGGCAGTTTTCTGTTTGCCTGTTGCTAATAGTGCTTCCTGGATGTGTTTGACATTTTACTTGGCTTTGAAAGGACTTTCATGCCCCCTGCGTTTTCTTCCCTCAAGCTCCCTTGAGCTAATTAACCTATTCCCTTGCTGGCTGGGCCGACTACTATATGCAAATGCTCTCATTTCCGATTCTGACATATCACTTTTGCAGGCACGGCCCTAATGAAATCCTGGGGTGTTTTATGGAGCAGTGCACCTGTGCCGCCAGCAGAGGCCGCATGAACAGTTCTCTGAGTCGACCTCAGCGATGATTATGTTCCCTAGCCTGCTGTTCTAAGAAAGTGGGAACCAGGCTGGAAAGATAGCTCTGTAGTTAAAAGCACTGGTGGCTCTTTGCAGAGGATCCATGTTTCAGAAAGCAAAAAAGTAGCAACACTTTTGATACTTTGGGTTTTGATTTTGTGCTGTTCTTGCAATGGATTTATAAACACCGGGTGTAAATGATGCTCTGTGCTCTTAATAAGAGAGAGAACTGTACTCGGAATTCTCTTGAGACTTATAGTGGGCAGAATTATTTTGGGCTTCTATTGTTGAGTTGGGGTACATGGGTGTATGTATGGGAGGCACTGTTAGGAAAGGGGACACCACCATAGGTTGAGTGCAGCCCTGACACCAGATGAAATCTTAAGAATATTGGTTCTGGCAACTGGAGATGAAGAAATAGCCTGAAGACCCATCAGGCATCTCTCTTCCCAATCTGCATCTTCCCAAAGCTCAGCTCTGGGGATCTCATTTGACTGAGATAAAGTTTCTCAGGTGATAAGGAACAGCACCAACCATTTTGGGGAAGAAATTTACAAAATGCATCCTCTACCAAAACACAGGCAGAGTGCCATAAACCTGTGGTCCCAGGCCTCGGGAGACTTGAGACAAGAACGTCGTGAAGTCAAGGCCAGCCTCCATTACTCAGCCAATTGGAGGCCAGCCAGAGCAACAGAGACCCTGCAGGGAAAAGAAAAGAAAAATCGATTATTTACCCTCCAAGAAGAAAAGGAAGGGATGGAAGAGGAAAGAAGGTGTGAAGTAATGTTTGAGTTGCCCACTCTATTTATCTAGAAAGTGCATCTGAGCTGGAGAGATGACTCAGCAGTAGGGAGCACTGGCCGCTCTTCTAGAGGACCTGGGTTCAATTCCCAGCACCCAAATGGTGGCTCACAACTGTCTGTAATTCCAGTTCCAGGGGATCCAACACCCTTCCACAGATGCACATGTAGGCAAACACCAATGCAAATAAATAAATAATTTTTTAACACAAAATAAAGAAAGAAAGGAAAAGTACATCTGGGTAAGAGATGACTGGTAGTCAAGAGTACTGTTCTTGTAGGGGACCCAGGTCAGGTCCCAGCATCCTCATGGTGGTTTACAGCAGCCCATAACTCCAGTGCCAGGGGATCCAATGCCATTTTCTGGCCTCTGTGGGTACTGGCACATACGTACATAAACTTGCACAGGTGTGCACACACATGCACGTGTACACACAGATAAATTATAAGCAAACAAATGTTTAAGAAAAGTTCATCCTTAAACTTACTTATATCTTGATTCTTATTGACTCATTAGCCTAGCTAATATTTTATCTATTTTAACAGTTGGGCTATCAATCACCCAAGGTCCCCTTTTAATCTTGTTGGTAATACTGTTTTTTGGTTGGTGAGTGGGTTGACTGGTTGGTTGGTTTGGCTTGTTGGGGTTTTCCCCCATGGAGCTGATGTTTCGCTTTTCTTCTTCCCCTCTTCTGTCTTTCCTGTCCCTATTCCCCCACCCCACCCTGCTCCCCCCACTCCTGTCGGTTCCCCTTCTCAGAATCCGGAGCTGCTACTGCCAGCTGAGCGAACCCACGGGGAGATGATTCCTCATGAAGGGCCTGGATCCCCTACAGAAATCCCATGTGACTCTCTGTTTATCAGACTGAAATCCGAGCCAGCCAGCCAGTGAAACAGCCACCGTGGAGGGGGGACGGCGAAAAATGAAATCCAACCAAGAGCGGAGCAATGAATGCCTGCCTCCCAAGAAACGTGAGATCCCCGCCACCAGCCGGCCCTCTGAGGAGAAGGCCACCGCTCTGCCCAGCGACAACCACTGCGTGGAGGGTGTGGCATGGCTCCCCAGCACCCCTGGCAGCCGCGGCCACGGGGGTGGGCGGCATGGGCCAGCAGGGACTTCCGGGGAGCTTGGTTTACAAGGAATGGGTTTACATAAATCACTGTCCGCAGGGTTGGACTACTCCCCACCCAGTGCCCCCAGGTCAGTTCCCACAGCCACCACGCTGCCCACGGTGTACCCTCCTCCTCAATCGGGGACCCCGGTATCTCCGGTGCAGTACGCCCACCTGTCACACACCTTCCAGTTCATTGGCTCCTCCCAATACAGTGGGCCCTACGCTGGCTTTATCCCTTCCCAACTAATCTCCCCGTCAGGCAACCCGGTCACCAGTGCAGTGGCCTCAGCTGCAGGGGCCACCACTCCATCACAGCGCTCCCAGCTGGAGGCCTATTCCACCCTGCTGGCCAACATGGGCAGTCTGAGCCAGGCGCCAGGACATAAGGTTGAGCCCCCACCGCAGCAGCACCTCAGCAGGGCTGTTGCAGGGATGGTCACCCCAGGGTCCCCTCCACCCACCCAGCAGAACCAGTACATTCACATTTCCAGCTCTCCGCAGAGCTCTGGGCGGGCAGCATCTCCTCCCCCCCTCCCGGTCCACCTCCATCCCCATCAGACGATGATCCCGCACACGCTCACCCTGGGGCCCTCGTCCCAGGTGGTCGTGCAATACAGCGACGCCGGAGGCCACTTTGTTCCTAGAGAGTCCACCAAAAAAGCAGAAAGCAGCAGGTTGCAGCAGGCTATGCAGGCCAAGGAGGTCCTGAATGGGGAGGTGGAGAAGAGTCGGAGGTATGGGGCACCATCCTCTGTGGAGCTAAGCCTGGGCAAGGCAAGCGGCAAGTCAGTGCCTCATCCCTATGAGTCCCGGCACGTGGTGGTCCACCCGAGCCCATCAGACTACAGCAGTCGTGATACCTCTGGGGTCCGTGGATCTGTGATGGTCCTGCCCAACAGCAACACACCCTCAGCCGACCTGGAGACGCAGCAGGCCACACATCGAGAGGCCTCCCCGTCCACCCTCAACGACAAGAGCGGCCTGCATTTAGGGAAGGCCAGCCACAGGTCCTATGCACTGTCCCCCCACACGGTCATTCAGACCACACACAGTGCATCAGAGCCTCTCCCGGTGGGCCTACCAGCCACAGCCTTCTATGCTGGGACTCAACCTCCTGTCATCGGCTACCTGAGTGGCCAGCAGCAAGCAATTACCTATGCCGGCAGCCTGCCTCAGCACCTGGTGATCCCGGGCACCCAGCCTCTGCTCATCCCAGTGGGCAGCCCTGACATGGACACCCCTGGGGCAGCCTCGGCCATAGTCACATCATCACCCCAGTTTGCTGCAGTGCCTCACACGTTTGTCACCACCGCCCTGCCCAAGAGTGAAAACTTCAACCCCGAGGCCCTGGTCACCCAGGCCGCCTACCCAGCCATGGTGCAGGCCCAGATCCACCTGCCGGTGGTGCAGTCGGTGGCGTCCCCTGCCACGGCGCCGCCCACGCTGCCGCCATATTTCATGAAAGGCTCGATCATCCAGCTGGCCAACGGGGAGCTGAAGAAGGTGGAGGACCTGAAAACAGAGGATTTCATCCAGAGTGCAGAGATTAGCAATGACCTCAAGATCGACTCCAGCACGGTGGAGAGGATTGAGGACAGTCACAGTCCCGGTGTGGCCGTGATACAATTCGCTGTTGGTGAACATCGAGCCCAGGTAACCCTCACCCAGGGTCATAGAGGTGAGGGGCCCCCTAACCCCCGGTTCTGTCATCTCCTGGCAAGGTGGTTGCTTTTCACAGGTAGGGTTCCCATTGGTACCTGGTACTATGGGGGAGAGGGTGCTTATAGTGATTCAGGAGCGAGGAAACAGATGAATTACCCTCAAGATGATCTTTGTTAGGAAAGCCAGGCCATTGTGGCTATAGGCAGTCATGCTGGAACCCTCTAGAGAGAGACAGACCCTACAGGGCTGAAGAAGAGCTTCCTGAAGAGAAAGCCACCTCAGATAGTGTGATGGGTCCTGAGGAGGACAGCATGGGGCAGGGTTCTGGTCATTGGAGTCTTAGGGGGTGGGGTAGTTAAATACCATGTGAACTAGACTGTGTGTCAAAAGTCACAAAGTAGGAAAGCACAGATACCCAGTGTCTCCTCACCTCCACAGTAGCTAAAGGTGCCTGGGAGCTTCTGGTCCTCCTGCCTATGTCTCCAGAGTTTGGGGGTTATAGGCATATGCCACTGTGCCCAGTTTAATTCGGTATGAAAAATTCAACTCAGGGCCTCATGCCTGCTAGGCAAGGACTTTACCCATTGAGATACATCTCAGCCTCCGTTCCAGACTCTGAAATCATCTTCTAGCACTTACTCCAGGGCCTATTTATATGGAACAGCAGTTTTACTGACCACATGGCTGGGGGTCAGCCACACTTGTCTCCATCTAGGCACAGCCCCTGAAAAACCAGATGTGGGATCTGGCTCAAGGTCACGGGTCCTGCTTCCCTGAAACCTTTCAATCTAGCATGGTCGTTGTGGATAGAAACCACAGTCATTCAGTATTTGGTAAGGGCCAAGAAAGTTTTCTGTAAAGTTCTGATTCTGAGAAGATAATAGCATGCTTATTTAAAGTGTTATATGTGCTGATGCTCACTTCCAACGTGAAGTGATACCACTTCACTCTCAGGCCTTGGGCGAACCATGTAAACAGACCAAAATGTGTTCTTCCTCATAGTTTTAGCCCTTAGACTGTGATTATGACAAGCGAAATCAGGCGAAATACTGGTTTACTTGTTTCATTGCCGATCATTGAACCTGGAGCCTCATACATGCTAGGTGGTCACTCAGCCACTGACCTATATTCCCAGCCCAAATGATATTCTCTTCTGAGCAGCATCTTTTAGCTAGAAAATAAATTCAGCCACTATAACCCAGGGATTACACATCCAGGTCCTAACAGACCAACAAAGTCCAAAATATAAGCCCACAACCCTCTCCAGTCTGGAGGGGCAACAATCTCTGTGTGTTTGCTCCTGCTCAGACTCTGAAAAATTAATGTACAAGCCATGAAGAGACTGGCTTCCCTGTCTCTCTCTCCTCCCCACAGCCTGACAGCAGAGGTTCTAGCAGCACAGTAAAGCAGACAAAACGTTTGTTCGCTTTTCTCCTGGGGTGAAAAGTGCTATTGCAAAGCCAGACAAGAGGCCTGAGGTCTGCTAAAGAAACTGCTTGGGTTTCAGGCCATTGAAATAAAAGTGCAAGGCTCAGACCCAACCAGCGATTTGTGGCTTTATTCTAGAAGCCTATCAGCTTATCAGAGATTGTCTGACGTCATCACAGAGGCAGGGCTCCACAAGCAATGCTGGCTGGCAAGCACGAGTGACAGGTTTTGAATCACAGAGTCAGAGGAGGGGAAGAGAGCAGGGGAACCTGGTAAGGGAGTGAGAATGGCTGCAGACTTAATTGAGCTTACAAGGGCTGCTCTCCCTCTTGGGTAGCTCTTGAAGGACCTTTCTCCCTAGCCTGAGCAGATGCCCAGGTCTCTGCAGCTGGAAGTCCAGCTGTGCATTTGTGCAGACCAAGTTACTTTTCCCACCCCCACCACTCCCAGCTGATAGTCTCTCTTCTCTAAAATAGGCTAACCTAATGATGCTGCGTAAGGACCGTCTGAGAGCTCATAGGGTTTTGTTTGGGTTTTCATCATCGTTTTTGGTTTTTCTCAACTATGGGTTGTGTATATGTGTATCTATGATGTATGTGTATGTATGTGTGTGCATGTTTGTCTTTGGGGTATATATGTGTGTTTATGGTGTGTGTGCATGTGTCTATGGTGTGTGTGTATGTGTGTGCACATTTGTCTTTGGGGTATATATGTGTGTCTATGGTGT